AGTTTATGGTTTAGGGTATAGAGTATAGAGTATAGAGTTTATGGTTTATGGTTTAGGGTATAGAGTATAGAGTTTATGGTTTAGGGTATAGAGTATAGAGTATAGAGTTTATGGTTTATGGTTTAGGGTATAGAGTATAGAGTTTATGGTTTAGGGTATAGAGTATAAGGTATAAAGTTTATGGTTTAGGGTATAGAGTATAGAGTATAGAGTTTATGGTTTAGGGTATAGAGTATGGAGTATAGAGTTTATGGTTTAGGGTATAAAGTATAGGGTATAGAGTTTACGGTTTAGGGTATAGAGTATAGGGTATAGAGTTTATGGTTTAGGGTATAGGGTTTAGAGTTTAGAGAATAGGCTCAGGTTTCAGGGTTTAGGGTTTGGGGTATAGGATATAGAGTATAGAGTATAGGTTTAGGGTATAGGGTATATAATTTATGGCTCAGTGTATAGGGTTTAGAGTTTGGAGTTTAAAGTTCAAATCCTAAAACCTTCCTGAACACCGTCAGTAACCAGAACAGACAATGACGAGATTTCAGGTATCACAAACCCCCCCCCCCCCCAAAAAAAACTATATATAGAACACCTGAGCAAAGTAGAGGAGTACAAGGTTCGGTACCGAAACACAGCCAACGACTCTGGTGCACACTATGGCCCACGCACAGACGAATGTGACAGACAGTGTTAACTGGGTGAACTTATCCTCTGCATAGAATTAAATCATACACACGACGATGGAAGTACTCAACCACTAGTAGTAGGCTAGGACATGAGACTGCACACACACACAAACACACATGTACATACACACACACATACACAAAACACACACACACACACACACACACGTACATACACACACACACATACACAAAAACACACACACACATACACAAACACACAAACGCACCACACACACATACACAAATCACACACACGCACCACACACACATACACAAATCACACAAATGCACCACACACACATACACAAATCACACACACGCACCACACACACATACACAAAACACACAAATGCACCACACACACATACACAAATCACACACACGCACCACACACACATACACAAAATACACACACACTCACACACATATACACAAAACACACACACGCACGCACATACGGACATACACACACAGACGCGCACGTGCATAAACACATATACTTACACACACACGCACGGACACACACACAATCACAAACACACACACACATACATCAACAATCACACAAGGGCAACATTCCATAAACACACACACATATATACACATACGTCAACAAACACACATTCACACATACAACAACAAACACACATACACACATACAACAACAAACACACATACACACATACAACAACAAACACACATACACACATACACCCATACCCTCTTCATAGCATGGAAGAAGGCCGCGACTAATTCCGTATTGCCATGTAGGTCTGTGTAATAATCAAGAAAGTGTGTGTTTATAACATGTTTTAGGGGTTTAATAAGGGCGTACATAGTAACGTAATGTGTTTTCAGCATAATTTAAGGGGTTAATAAGTGCGTATGTGCCACAACGTAAAGTAATCCTAAAATACGAGTGGAAAGGAGGCTACTTTTCGCCAGCTTACCAAAAAGTATCGCTTGCCAAATCGGGTTAAAATAGGACGTTCACTGTTGCGCAAAAAGAAAAGAAAAAACTCCAATAGCTGCAGCCACTCAAGTCTCCAGAGCTCAACTACAATCCCAATACATACCATACCAGTAGTCAAACAGACCCACGCTTGCACAGATACGAACAATAAACAGCCTACGTTGACCCGCTTGTCGTGCCTACGTACAGTACGAATCCGTCGGAAATCTACCGATTTAGGGTTTTAGGGTTTATATAAAACATGCGCACCCCCGCCTGTCGTATTTACGTCTAATAAGGACATCCACGAGACTATATTGACCCAGTTGTAGTGCATACGTACGGTACGAAAGCGTCCTGGTACAAACATCTATCCGCACACAAACACACACAGCCACCTGTCGTACTAACACCAAATAGGACTATCTACCAGCACACACACCTTTCTTTCCTCCCTTCAACCCCCCCCTCTACATCTAAAACCCTCTCCCCTTCCACCTCTACATACCACCTTAACCCCCACCACCACTACATCTAAAACCTTGTCCCCTTCCTCCTCTACATACCATCTTACTCCCCACCCCCTCTACATCTAAAACCCTCTCCCCTTCCCCCTCTACATGTCACCTTACCCCCCACCCCATCTACATCTAAAACCCTCTCCCCTTCCCCCTCTACATGCCATCTTACTCCCCACCACCTCTACATCTAAAACCCTCTCTCCTTCCCCCTCTACATACAACCTTACCCCTCACCACCTCTACATCTAAAACCCTAAAAACCTCTACCCTTCCCCCTCTACATACCATCTTACTCCCCACGCCCTCTACATCTAAAACCCTCTCCCCTTGTCCCTCTACATGCCATCTTACTCCCCACCCCCTCTGCATACCCTTCCCCCCTCTGCATGGTCTCGGTGCCCCTGTTCCTACCTACCTTTTTGCCCCCGTGCCTACTTACCTTGATTGAAGGCCACCAGCGACTGCCTGACCAGTTCTTCGGTCATAGGTGCAATGATCTGCGCCTGTTCGCCTGATCTGTACATTGACGCCAAAATCGCGGCACTCGCCAGAATTGGGGCCTGCGGTTTCAGGCTGTAGGACGACAGCTGTGGGTGGGGTTGTGGTGCAGATTGGGGAAATTATAATTGGGATTGGCTTTTGGGCTGAGGGTGTGGGTGTGGTGCAGATGGGGGAAGTTAGGATTGTGGCTGGCTTTTAAGCTGTGGGTAGGGTTGTGGTGGAGAGGGAGGAGGTATTATGACCGAATTGGCTTTTGCAGCGTGTATGTGAAGGTTCATTTACGGGTTTAGGGTTTAGAGTTTTTGGTTTTACAATAACATATCTACAGTTATGGCTACATGCGGGTGGGTAAAACTTCATACACGTTCGTCAGATATTATTGATAAGCATGAACTCTAACCCCAAACCCTAAACTCTATCCATTAGTTCTAACCCTAAAACATCATACATTTTCGTTAGACATTATCGATAAACCTAAACCCTAACCTTAGAACGTCATACATGGTTGTCAGGTGTCATTGAATATCAATCTCGTCGGATATATACGATATACCGAATGTCCCAAGCATCCCATACCGACAGCCCAATGGTAAACTAACCGGTACAGACAGTTACATATAATTCGGAATTGGGATGGGCTGAATTTGGGTGAATACTTTTGGGGTTCGTGTGGTTTTGGGAGAAAGATTTGGGTTAAACTAACCGGTACAGACAGTTACAAACAAGTCAATTCGGATGGGATGAGTTTGAGTGAATACTTTTGGGGTTCGTGTGGTTTTGGGTAAAAGATTTGGGGCTGGGTGCCAGGAAATGCATAGGACTACATCCAAGACTTAAATAAATACTTGATATAGATACATCTCAGATGTAAAAATACCACATATAAATAAGTACCAGATACAAATACATACTAAAAGGTTGTAGGAAGGCTATTGAAATGGGTGACAGGAAATGTACAGAACTACATGCCAGACAGTAATAAATTCAACATATATATACATCCCAGATATAAATAAATACCAGATATAAACAAGCATCAGATATAAATAAATACCAGATATATATACATAATAATAGGTTATTGTACGGCTATTCTAATGGGTGCCATTAAATGCCTACAACATACTAATAGGTTGCTGTACGGCTGTAGAAACGGCAGAAACTCTTCCGATGTATTCCGTAAAGCGCCGTTGAAGATGTCGCAGCAGTCCTGAAGTGTAGTGACATGAGAAATTAGCTTCGATCACATGGGTACGGAATATAGACAGGTTCATGTGCACACAAGTGGTATTGCGTGTGGGGATGGAGAGGGATTTGGGGGTATACACACACACACACACACACACACACACACACACTCACACACATACACACACACGCACACACACACACACTCACACACACACATATATATATATATATATACAATATACATATATAAAAATTTATAAATATATTAATAAATTAATATATAAATATATAAATAGATGCATATATGTATATATGTATATGTACACATACACATATAAAAATATGCCATACCTTGATTATGTTTTCATTCGCATTGAAACGCTCGGCCGTGAGGCAAATAACAGGTGCTACTTGTTGGACAACACCCACAATCGGATGCGGCGATTTGATTGGTTGAGAGTTAAATTGATGCGTTTCTATTGGTGGAGAGCTCTCTTCTTCGAAGTCCACGTGTGTGCATATCTTAAGCAATATCTGCAACTGGAGTGCCACTTGCCTCACCGTGTTCGGATCCTCCGGTGACTGGACAAATATCGAATGCGAATGAGGGGTGCATTACTAACGCATATTAGCGTCCATAATATACTGCCAAGATTTAATCGGAATCTAGTCAAATATCGAATGCGAATGAGTTGTGTTTGATTAACGTATACGCGCGTACTACATAATACTGTCAGATATAATCGGAATGTGGTCTAGTACGCAGGGTGGGGTGATACTATCACATGCATGCATACTACACAATACGATAGGATGTTGCCAGAATGTTGACTAGTATCGAATGCGGTATGTACGCATTCATAGCTCACCCTATATGCCTTCCCCTAACCACTACAACCGCTATGAGAGCCATACCATATGTACATACATTGTAGCTTATCTCTTGTTATGAAATCAACAATAGTATCCCTATATGCCTCTGTCACTACCACACCTACACCTGTTGATCTTAAGCCAGTCACTCACATGGAACTGTATGCCAACTAACATTTAATCATGTATGTGCATATCAACACATCACCAACTATACACCTAAGATACCAGATGCATACTAAACGTTCACCATGTAAATGCATGCTAACATTTGACCATGTATGTATATACTAACAATACATAATGCATATACATATTTGCATTTGCTCATATACATACATACTAATATTTGCTCATATACATACATGCTAACATTTGCTCATATACAAACATACTATCATTATACTATGTATATACATACTAACATTTCCTCATACACATACATACTAACACCCCATATAGATACATACTAACATTAACTCATATAGATACATACTATAATTACACCATGTATATACAAACTAACATTTGCTCATACACATACATACTAAAATTTGCTCATATATACACATACTAACATTTCCTTATATACTTACATACTAACATTTCGTCATCTATAAACATACTAACATTTCCTCATGTACATACATACTATCATTATACCATGTATATACATACTAACATTTCCTCATATATATACATACTAACATTTCCTCATATACATACATACTAACATGACCTCATATACATACATACTAACATTTCTTCATATACATACATACTAACATTTCTTCATATACATACATACTATCATTATACCATGTATATACATACTAACATTTCCTCATATACTTACATACTAACATTCCTCATATACATACAAACTAACATTTGTTCATATACATACATACTAACATTTCGCCATAGGCATACATACTAACATTTTCTCATATACATATATACTGACATTTCACCATATACATACATACTACCATGCCCTCATGTACATGCATGCTATGATTATACCATGTATATACATACTAACATTTCCCCTTATATATACATACTACCATGTCCTCATATACACACATGCATCCATTGCACCATGCACTCTGTACATCCTCACCTGCTGATTGAGTATCGTAAGCCATTGCACTGTGCTCGCTGAGATCTCTGTGAGGTACTGCACACACAACTCACGCTGCATGGCACTCAGCACACAACACAGAGCGGTGATGATTCGTATGCGTGTGTCTCTCTGGAGAAGAAGGACATGAGAGAAGATGAATTAGGTTTACTAGAGCAGATGAATAAGAAGAAGATGGATATGGGAGAAGATGAATTAGGTTCACTAGAGGAGATGAATAAGAAGAAGACGGATATGGGAGAAGATGAATTAGGTTCACTAGAGTAGATGAAGAATACGAAGACGGATATGGGAGAAGATAAATTAGGTTCACTAGAGCAGGTGACGAAGAATAGAGAAAGTGCGTTGGAGTGTCATAGTACTAACTATTACTTAAAGGGAGACATGCTTCAAAAAAGACACATATGGTTCCTTAGAGCAGATGAAGAAGGCTGTTTATCCCTCTGAGAAGGTGGAGAAGGCTCACTTAGAGATACAGATAGTTATTACTAAAATAAACGAGATTGAAGAGAGAAGATGAATACCGCTCGCTTAGAGATAGAGGTCATTATTACTATTACCTTAGAAGACATGTTTAGAGAAAATAAACGAGAATCAAGAGAGAAGATGAACACGGATCACTCAAAGATTGAGAAGGTTGTTTAGAGAATCCTAGTACTAATTACTACTTTAAAAAAGACAAGTTGTAGAGAATATAGATAAGGTTCAAGAGAGAAATCGGTTGGTGAGCTAGTAACATACAGTGTAGTCCTGTACTTTTAGTCAGATGTGAATGAACGTAGCAGTATGAGGACACACCTCTACGAAGATGTCAGTGTCACATACCTTAAAGAAAGTGTCAACAAGTGTCAATGTCTTATACTTTAACGGAAGTGTCAATAAGTGTCAACAAGTGCCGATGTCATATACTTTAACGGAAGTGTCAATAAGTGTCAACAAGTGCCCATGTCATATACTTTAACGGAAGTGTCAACAAGTGCCAATGTCATATACTTTAACGGAAGTGTCAACAAGTGTCAATGTCATATACTTTAACGGAAGTGTCAATAAGTGTCAACAAGTGCCAATGTCATATACTTTAACGGAAGTGTCAATAAGTGTCAACAAGTGCCAATGTCATATACTTTAACGGAAGTGTCAATAAGTGTCAACAAGTGCCAATGTCATATACTTTAACGGAAGTGTCAATAAGTGTCAACAAATGTCAATGTCATATACCTTAAAGAAAGTGTCAACAAATGTCAATGTCATATACCTTGAAGTTGTCAATATCATTTGTTTCTGTAAAAGTGTCAAACGTCAAATACCTTCAAGGAGGCGTCGAAGGCACTGCTGATGCACGACGAGAACACCTCTGCGGAATATTCCGTCATCTTCTCCGCATTCGATTCTGTGGCAGATGAGCATATATATATATATATATATATATATATTGTAATATGGGTGTGGTCCACAGATAATAGTGAGCTTGAGAGCTCGTGTGCAGAACTGAATTGTGTCTGATGCATGCTTGATGGTTCGGGTGTTCGAGGGGTGATTTTTTAGAGTGATGGAGGCATGGAGAAATGTTGTATGTCTTACGATATTGGTTTATTCCTACAGATGATTTGGTAAGCGTAGACCAATAGAAGAAGAGCATAAAATATTTAGTAGTGTAGTGTAATAGTATGATGGAATACAAGGCGAGAAAGGAGATGTTGCGTCAGTCACCAGAGGGTCTGACGGCAGACAATGCCCAGTTTTAGGATACAGGCCAAGGTTGTGGGATGATCAGTCCTCACAACCTTGTAAAGCTATTACACTACTTTGATCCTATAAAGTAAATACGTTGTTTCACTCTAAACCGTTCGTGAACTAAATTAGTTACTCACAATATATATATATAGATATAGATATAGATATAGAT